CCATAACACCTCAGCAGTGCCACAGGCTGATTGCCTCCATGCCACGCAGCATTGAAGCAGTCATTCATGCAAAAGAATTCCCGACCAAGTATTGAGTGCATAACTGAACATGATTGTTTGAAGGTTGGTGTTTTTTGTATTAAAAACACTTGTCTTTCATTGGTGGGATGAAATATGCTAATTTTTTGGGACAAGCATTTTGGGTTTTCATGAGCTGTATGCCATAATCATCAGTATTAAAACAATTAAAGACCTTAAATATTTCAGTTGGTGTGCAATGAATCTGAAATATATGAAAGTTTCATTTTTATCATTACATTAGGGAAAATAATTACCTTTATCACAATATGCTAATTTTTTGAGAAGGACCTGTACATTCAATTAAGGATCAGATAGCTGTAGAGGAAACAACTCTAATACTTGAGTACCAATCAGAAAGGTTAGCTTTTTATGCAGTGGATGTTTCCAGAGACTTCCATGTTCTGTTTACTTATAAATATGTGAAAATGAATGCAGTGGTGATCCAAAGGCAATTAACTTAAAACTCTGATCCTATGCAGTGTGATGTAAGTTTATAAACAATTTTTTTTTACATTTTGTTTGTTTCAGAGTTACAATCAGACCCCCCCTCCTGACCACAGCTTTAGAGAAAGCACTGCTCACAAATGTATCATCTTCCTCTGGGTGCTGACTAGGTGAGCAACACTGCTGAAAGCTGATAAAATCTCAGTTTGGTCAGGTTGTAATGTGCCTCTGCCTTAAATCTGCAGCTCTGTTGCAGTAGCTTTGGGAGGACTCACTGTGTGGCACGCGAGACTCATTAACAGAGGCGAGACCAGCGTGGAGCGCCACATCAACCGCAAAGAGACCAAAAGACTGAGGGAGACGGGAAAGGTACATCCTCTCAGCTACAGAGTCAACATGAGTGCTGCAGAATGCACCGTCTAACACAAGATACTGCTGTACAATAACATACAAAACATCCATCCAGTCCCCTTTTGAAGTTGGGTCCAGAGGCTGCAGCTTGAGCAGGGAGACTCAGACATTTCTTTCAACGGCCACCTTTCCCAGTGCTCCTGGAAGGATTTCAAAGGTGTTCCCAGGCCCTTCATAGTCTTTCCAGCATGTCCTGGATCTTCTAGGGTCTCCTACCAGTTAGACATGCCCAGAACACCTGCCCAACCACCTCAACTGGTTCCTGTCAACATGGAGGAGCAGCAACTCTATTCAGTGTCTCTCGGATAACTGAACTTCTCACCCTATCTGTAAGGGAGAGCTCAGCTTTCCTGCTGACAAAACACATTTTGGCTGCCTGTACGGCGGAATCCTCTTGAACCTGATAGAGATTTTCTATCCAAGACCCCCTCAGAACCCCTCCCACATCTGAGTCTTTGTTTCAGTTGTACCAAGGGCTGCAACCTGCTTAGCTCACAAGACGAACAGAAATATATGGTGGCAGCCAACCTGGATTTTGATATGGCACCCCAATTTTTGATAGGAACACTTTGCTACTATGCCTATATGCAGCCATACACCAACATTTGGGCCCCCACTTATTTTTCAAAATGTCAAGCTCACAGACCCGACAGATGGAGGGTATTTCCAATTCCAGTCTTCACTCTGTGACGGGGGACAAACAAAATTAAGTCATGTTGTTTCCTCCTAATGGTACGATCAAAAACCATGTTATCAACCTCTTCTCTCTAGTCCCGTTACAGAAACAAGTAGTCACTAATCTGGGAGTGAAAATGAACCCCTCCATAAAACTTAACCGTCATGTAAACATCATTGTTAAATCCTGTTTTTGTCAGTTGAGGTGATTGTTGAACTGAAGCCCATACTGTCTAAAAGTAACCTTGAGACAGTTACCCATGCTTTCATAACATCCATGCTTGATTATTGCAATGCACTTGTTTTTGGAATCAGTCAGAACTCCACTGAACATTTACAACTGGTCCAAAATGCTGCAGCCTGATTGTTAACCAGTACAGGCAAAAAAGAGCACATTACACCAGTTCTGGCCTCCCTGCACTGGCTCCCAGTTCACTTTCAAATTCAGTTCAAAATCCTTTTGTACGTTTTCAAATCACTGAACAGTTCTGTCCCATCTTACCTCGCTGATCGGCTGCAGCCATATGTCCCACAGCGCTGTCTGAGGTCAGCAGATCAGATGCTTCTATTGGTTCCAGGAACCAGTCTTAAGTAGAGCTGTCATTTCTAACTAGAACCCGGAGCCCGGCCCCGCCCGACCCAGATTCGGACCAGGCCGGGCCATAATAATGTGCTTAATGTGTGGGCTGGGTCGATGTCGGGCTTTTTATTGCATCAGGAACGCTCACGGCCGACGATCCAATATATGCAAACATGGCTTGCCATACTGCACCTGCCGCACGTGGCCGTTTGACTGCGTGCTGACCGGCCGGTTGAAAGAGGTAAAAAGTTCAGTTAAGTTTCAGATGGACCACTGCCAGTGATCCATCAGCCCAAATGGACGTTCATTCAGCCGCTGCACTCGGTGGACGTGTGCAGCCAAGACCCAAACAGGTGAGATCAGAAAATGTCCGACATGTCAGAGCAGGATGCAGACAGAAGCAGGGGAAGCATTCGATACGCTTTGAGGGCTCCTCAGCTCTGATCTTCTGCCCCCTCAGCCGCGTACGTCCACCAACCGTTAATAACGGTCGGTGGTTTAAGCAGTCACAGCTTAATTCAAAATGTCTGTTTTTTTTCCGGGTTTGGACCTGTAATTACTGGTAATTTGTCGGATCAGGTGCAGTTCGGAGATGTTTGTTACGGGCTGGGGCCGGGTCGGTTCGGATTATTTGGACCCGAATGCAACTCTAGCCTTAAGCTCAGAAGTGACAGAACCTTCTCTGCTGCAGGTCCAAAACTGTTACCACTACATGTCAGGCAGCCCCCCCTCCCCCCCACATGGTTTTTATTCTCTGGCCTTTGACACAGTGTGATTTGTTCTTAACCTGTGTTCTACAATGTTAGCCATTTAGTTATTATCTTTGTCCATTTGGATCTATGTATTTGTTGCTGTTTGCTTTGCTAGATTTTTAATTTGAACTTGTTTGTTTCTGCTGTACAGCACTTGGGTCGGTCTTGTTGCTGTTTTAAGTGCTTTATAAATAAATTCGTATGGTATGAAGATCAGAACATTCAGCAGCAAGGCAAGAACTACGTTAACCAACAAATGTTAACTATTTATTTGGGTTGCATACCAGAATCCACGATGGCTACTGCCATAAATGTCTATCTGTGTTGTGAGCATGATAACTTGAAAAACAAGTAAGCCACCAACTTCTATTTTGGTGTGTAGCTGCATCTAATATAGTATAACAAAGAGTAAAACTACTTTGAGATTTTTACTTTTAATGAGGGCAATGTCACCTTTGTTTACTTCTACTAAAACCAGTCACAGTGAAGTTGGTCCTTTTCTGACGTCAATTTCTGTGTTTGGCTCTGAGGTCTAAAGCCAGTCATGTTGAAGGTGTAGGTCTGTGGCACTGTGGATCGTTTTCTTTGCAGTGTTCATAGTGACAGAAGGGACATTTTGAGCATGTTTAAACCTCTCAAAAAATGCATGAATTTGGGCCAAAGATTGATAAGAACCACTATGGTTTCAGTAGCCAATTTACAAAATTACCAGGGAATCAAATAATTAATTCCTTCATGGTATGATAGTGTATAGTCAAATCATATCAGAGTAAATGACTAAACATTAAAACCTAAAACAAACAAACTGTCCTTCGTGATTGTTGTGAACACATTTTTCCTTTACACAGATTTCTTTAAATGTTTCTTCTCATCCCATCAACTGTAGGTGTTCAGAAATCCCCACCATCATGGCAAAATAAAGAACTGGGAAATATTTTTTGGTGTGGAGACAAAAAGGTGAGTTTGGCAACCACTTCACTTCTTGTTTTTGAAATATTTCACAAACATAAGTTTATTTTCTTTTTGTCCTTCAGTCACTGGTTCACTCGGGTCTTGTTACCCTCCAGCCATCCTCCTGACGGAGACGGCCTTATGTGGGACTGCACCTTCCGCCGGAGATACCTCATAGCCGTTTGACTCTGAGACGATATTTTTATTTTTAAATATATTTAAAAAAAAATTGTGGTAAAAACACAGATAAATTAACATTTTGGGGCTTATGTTTAAAGGAAGAAACCCAACAATGTGTTGGGATCTTTGCCAGGAAAATGGAGCTTGTTAAATAATAATTTAAAAAAAATATATGTATATATATATATATATATATATATATATATATATA